GTTGTTCGGGTTTCTTCATCTGAAAAAAAAAAAGCGACATTAATTTCTTCACGACCTAATATATAAAAATCAACCAACAGCTAATACTACCTTAAGTAATAAGTAATGATCAAAAATAGGTGATAATATGAGCCATCAAACTATACTGCAGACAAAATCCCGATTACCATAAACTTACCGTTTCGATATTCGCGCTAAGCTGCTTAAAGTCTGTTTTCCCTCACCATCAACATCAAGAAGCCAATTGTGTTGGGAAAAGGCGTTCCTCGGGAACCAGTTGTATTGGGACAAGGCGTTCGTCGGGAACCAAAAATTTCTCTGTACGTAGTCAAGAAGTTCAGCTACCCTGAGTCAAAAGTGAGTGACAATATTTTAACACCTTCAACAGGTTAACAAAACGAGTCTGAAACTACTTAAAGGTCGCTACAAAACCAAGTTGTGTGTATATATAGCATATGTGCTCGGCATGTTCGTGTTCAGCAGTAAAACATGAACAATATATGCGCATCAAGAGAAGAAGCCGAACAGTTTCCATCTAAGCCACATTTTGTATATCAAGTTGAAAAACAGACACAGATGTAGAGGTCCTTCACAGAGCAGAACTACCGAGCATGACAGCAGTCTTCAAACAGAGATGCATGCTCTTATTGGGATATATACACAGAATGGGGAAGAACATTTCCCAAGAACATGTTATACCTAATGGTATACAGATGGTAGAAGAACAGCTGGACGCCCGAAACCCCGCTTTAAAGTCCAGCATCGACCACACGATCAGTTACATCTCTGCAATATTAATACTGCAAGTCCAGCATCGACCATACGAGAAGTTACATCTCTGCAACATTAATACTGCAAGTCCGGCATCGACCACACGTGAAGTTACATTTCTGGAACATTAATACTGCAAGTCCAGCATCGACCACACGAGATGTTACATTTCTGGAACATTAATACTGCAAGTTCAGCATCGACCACACGAGATGTTACATCTCTGCAACATTAATACTGCAAGTCCGGCATCGACCACACGAGAAGTTACATTTCTGGAACATTAATACTGCAAGTCCAGCATCGACCAACGAGAAGTTACATTTCTGGAACATCAATAAGCTGCGATTTCTACCGTCTCTTGCAGATAAACAGATGCTAACAACATTTTATAGCTACTGCTTGTATATTTCATAGTTCATTAACATCTGCATTTTTGTGTTTGTTTGAAATATATATAGAAAAGCTTTAAATACTTTCTTGTTTTCAATTTTTCTAAGATTTACTACTGTTGAATTATTTTTGGTATGTGTTGTAGCCTCGAATGATAACCAATATCAAACCAAAAATTCTCATTCTTATTTCTGTGTATCTCCAGGGTCTCTTCTCTCGCATAACTTTCCGCCAGAACCTTTACCTCGGAGGTTCTCCTAATGTTAGCCTTATAGAGGAGAGAACAGAATGTCAACAGGGATTTATAGGATGTGTGCGCCGCCTGGAGATCAATACCAGAAAGTACGACTTTCGTTCTGGTAGCAGAGGTGATGCTGTTGAAGGCGCTGACGTGGGTAAGAACATTTTTTTTATTACATTTCTCATCGGAGATTAAACCTATGATTTAAACATAATACTAAAATACACTTTTTTGTTTTCGTTAAGCTTCTTTTATTTTGTGACATTTGTGGCAACCTTTGTAACGGATCTTTTTAGAATTCTTGAACCCATGTTTTGGTATATAATAAAATACAACTTTTATAAGAACAGCTGAAAAACTGGTGTTTGTTATTTTTCAACATTGGTATTAATTTTTCATATGTTTTCACGTTTTGTTTTTATCTCCGCCACCGAAGGTGGACGGAAGCTGTTTCCACCCCTCTGTGTGTTTGTCAGCAAGGTTTATCGAAAACGGCTGAATGGATTTGGACGAAAATTGATATACACTTGGACTATGACCTAGCTTAAAAGTGACTAGTTTTTGGAGGGTTAAGGTCACGAATATCCAAAACATCCGTATTTGTTAACATGGGGCCCGATTTTTCGCACTATTTTTGCTCTACAACTCAGTCAAAAATGATCAGATTTGGATGAAACTTGTTGGACATATGTAGAATATCATTCCTCAATGTACTGCCTAAAATGATTCGTGTCCGTTGATAATGACGGCCATGCGGACACATTTTCGTATTTTTAGAGCCGAATATGATCAACGTTGCGTGGCGGAGATTACTGAGTTCCCCTCTAGTTAGCCTACTGTTTTTGCCAGTTTCATATGAATTACAACATCATTTTAAATGCAGATGAAGTTGAAACAATACCTATTAATTTTGTATCTCTCTATTTAACGTGAGTGATTCATGTTCATGTGCTTGCTAAAAGTCAAGCATTAAATTATTTCAAGTGAAACGAATTAAATAAATCGTATTTTATCCCATGTTTTTTTTCCTTCTTCCAAGACTGGTACACAGGATATTTTAAAATTGAATTTATTTTCTGACTTGAACTCTGTATATCATTAGGGGAATGCAGTTCTGACGTGTGTAACAAGGTAACGTGTCAACATGGCGGACAATGTGTGGCTGCCAGCCCTGATCATGGGATTTGTTTGTGTCCCCTGGGCTACATCGGTGATCGCTGTGAACAAGGTTAGGAAAATAGTTTTATTCATTTTGATAAACAAGAAACATGTTTAATGATAATTACCAGTGAAAAAATAGGTTTAATCGCGTGTGTGTATGTCTATATATAAAATATTTCCTCTATGTTTCAAAATCAGAATTATTTCACTCTGATATAGCATTTTCTACAGGTATGTATGCGTTTGATCTTTGCCCACGACTCATTGGTTACAAACCAAGAATTTTTTATCCTTGAATAAATCACTGATTATTCAGTATGGAAGTACCTTGTGCTAATATAATAGTAAACTGACAAACAGCTATTTATAAGCATGATAAAGTGATTTTATTTTGGGGAACATACTACATATTTCGACAGAACATTTATCTATCTTCATGGCGTGTTTGTTGCAGATTCACTGGATTTATTTAAATAACCAAAACTTTGTGTTTTAGCTTTGAAAAAGAGGCAGATCCGCATAACCACTCTCGAAACATGTATTTTCCTAAAAATAAAACCACTTCATTATGCTGGTAAATCTTTCTTTGTCAATTTACTGTTAAGTCACTGATTATAAACATGGTTAACACTATACTTTTTAATGACTATTACTAAATTCTGAAAATGTGTAATCCATGAGTAAATCTACTTTAAAATTGGTAATCTCGTACAGTTAGCCACCTATGCACACTTTATTATATGTTGGGGAGTGTCATGATATAAAAGACTGTTTAGTTTAGGTATTATTGATTAATTTATTTTTACGAGAATATTTTATTATTGTTTAGTTTTTGTTATAATAAGAGTTAAAAGCAGACGATTGTATGAAGTTTTGTTAATAATACATTTATATTGAGACTGTCGAACGTCGCGTGCAATACACTGACGTCGAGAATATAGAAGGCGGACAGGCGATTAAGTGATAGACATATAAATAGTGTGAGACGAGAGGAAACAGCAGACAGATAATAGCAAAAATGGCCAAGAAAAAGTTTGGCGTGAAGTTAACTACCGTAGAAGTGATAGGCCTAACGCTTGACATAGGCCCTAACGTTTAATACGTTAGAATAAGACTAACAGTAGAAAAGGAGATAAGAAGAAGAATTTATTCCGTCAAAACATGTTTGTAAAGTAATTGAATCAGCCTGAGTGCACTTTGACAAAAGGAACAGAGGATATTTAGGAGAAAGAAGACCAAACGATTACGGTAACTCGCACCACAATTGTAAGTGAATCACATACAGAATACTAGTGCGATAGTAACAGAGAAGATAGTTCGGCTTGTCAACTAAAATTTTAAAGTAATTGAATAGGCCTAAGTGGACTTTTGAAAAGAAGAAGAGAACTATATATAAATAGTGTTTATGATATGCCTATAATCTCTATAATGTGAAGAATTTGCTGTACATACGTTCCGAAAATATATATTATTTTGAAAACAAGTGAAGTGCGTGCTGTTTATTTATCGTTGAATTTAATCGTCAACAAGTCACAGACACCTACTGTAGAAGAATGCTAAGCCCAACAACAACACAGTATATATTTATACTATTAAGAAATATAAGTAAAAGCCTTTTATTTGAACAATTAGAGAAAGGAGTTATACTTTTAATTTCTGACAGGAAGTTTACAGTTAGGAATGTTTTTTCTTCTTATCATGTTTAGAATTTTCTAATTTTTGTGTATTAGTTCATATCATCCTCTTATGGCTCAGCGGTAAGTTCAAATCCCACCATTCGGTCACTTGGGTGTGAGATGCTGTTGACCATCTGGCTCCCTCTCCTCTAATTTATCAGTTCAAAATTAGGAATGGTTCTGCGCAAATAACCCTTGTATAGCTTTCCGCGAAAATTCTAAAACAAACAATTCTTGAACTTTGTGCTGATTGTAATCTAGTACATCTTGAGTATGACATCAATAGTGAATACAAAATATTATAAAAGATGGTACCGTTTAAAAACAAATTAATGTTTTCGAATATTCCAGTTTTCTGATATTAGGACTTATTGACGTCAATAAGTGTTGTATTGTTAAAATGCACTTTTTCCGATTTAGCATTAGTCCTACGATCTGAAATCGGTCTATCTTAGCTAGATTTAGTTGTTTGAACATATTGTAATTAGTTATTTAGTTAACATTTAATTTTGTGCTTCACTTTATGTTACGATGCGAAATAGCTTGTTTCAAAGTTTCATATAGCTAAGCCCTCAAAATAGAGTACAAAATCATGTTACGAGCTGATCGTTGTGTAGGATTGTTTAGATATTATAATCACGTAACTAGCTGATCTTTGAGTAAGATTGTTCAGATATTATAATTACGTTAGTAGTTGATCTTTATGTAAAACTGTTCAGATATTATAATCACGTAACTAGCTAATCTTTATGTAAGATTGTTTAGATATTATAATCACGTAACTAGCTGATCTTTGTGTAAGATTGTTCAAATATTATAATCACGTAACTAGCTGATCTTTGTGTAAGATTGTTCAGATATTATAATCACGTTACTAGCTGATCTTTATGTAAGATTGTTCAGATATTATAATCACGTAACTAGCTAATCTTTATGTAAGATTGTTCAGATATTATAATCACGTTACTAGCTAATCTTTATGTAAGATTGTTCAGATATTATAATCACGTAACTAGCTAATCTTTATGTAAAATTGTTCAGATATTATAATCACGTTACTAGCTGATCTTTATGTAAGATTGTTCAGATATTATAATCACGTAACTAGCTAATCTTTATGTAAAATTGTTCAGATATTATAATCACGTTACTGTCTAATTTTTGTGTAGGATTGTTTTATCCACACATTCCTGGAACAATCTCATATACCTAAAACAAGAACTGGAATTGCTTCAAACAATTCTGGTACGATCGATCATAAGTTCTGCAAGTTATACCTTTTGTTTTGTAAAGTTATACAGATATTATTTGCACTCTGTCCACTACCGGGAATCGAATCCCGAATTGTAGCGCTGAAAGTTTGTAAACTTACCGATACTCACCAGGGACTATTTATAAAGTTTACTTCAGCTTTATTTAACATTCGAGTGTATTTTAGCTACTATAAAATTATTAATTTCTAAAATGTATTTACACTTTTCTATCGCTGTTATTCTCCATACGTACAAGGTAACTGGTTTAGTCAACTTTTTTTAGTTATTGAATTTTTCTTACTAGATTTTCGAATAGCATTGATTTAAGGAGACTACGGATGCTTTCTGAATAGGAACTAACCTATCATTGATTTGCCTTATAACAAGGAGATTTAATACATCTGTTTATAAAGCTCACGCACTCTCCACTTCGGAGAGAGAACCTGTGCTCGATATTAAAACTTTTCTCTTTTTGCATTCGCAGCTGTGGAACTTGTGGTTCCATTCTTTAACGGATCCTCCTATCTCGAGTATTCGGGCTTGGGAAGTTCGGCTCTTTCATTTATTGAACTTCTTGTGGTCTTCAAGCCCAAGAGACCAGATGGAGTTCTATTTTACAATGGGTATAAAATAGATGGAACTGGAGACTTCATGGCTATCAGCTTGGTTGATGGATTTGTTGAATTTCGGTTTGACTTGGGCACTGGACCTGCCATTGTCAGGTAAGAAGTTTTTTTTTTACTTCATAATCATTTTACCGCAGATATAGCTAAAGGATTTGGCGTTGCTAGTCAGAACTCCTCGTCTTTCAATAGATTTTCAGAAGAGTAGTTTGTCGGTTTTTAAAAACTGTTTTTTGTTGTTGTTGACTTGATTTCAATAAACTCTTATATAAATAGTAATCGAAATAAATGTACCAACCCTTGAAATAACAAGGATAATCTGATTAAAGAGAGACTAAAACTTTCATTTCCTGCGCCCATCCGCCTTGAAAATGTACAAGGTTTATGCTGTTAAACAAACAGCGAAGGTTTGATAGCAAAGTACAGTATGTCAAAACTGGTATTTTTATTTTATGTACAGGGTTCTTATTAAATTACTTGGCTTGTTAAAACATCTATAAAATGAATATTGTTCGTCATAGAACAATAACTATTGGTGGACATAACCATGAGACCTTGGGAAATACAAATTAATGGTCAATAGATGGCGCTACGTGCTCATTTTGACCACCATTCATGTCAACAATGCCCACAATTTTAACAGCCGAATGAAACTGTCCAGTGTTCAATATAACCATGTGCTATCGGATTTAACTTGTCTAGTCCACCATCATAGTAGGGGTTCCACGACACAACGCATATAATATGTATTATATAGCCAAAAATCAGGTGAGCCATCCTACATTGTGTTGACCAAAAATGACCTAGAGGTTAATGTGTCAGGTAGAAGATGGAAAGGTTAGTTTTTCGAACGTGAGGCTGTTGAAGACATTATAAAAATTACTATCCTGTTTTTCGGTTCAAAGATTCGGACAAAACCCTTATGGCACTGGGTTCTGCTGGCCTTTCTGTTTGGTCAGTAGTTCAAAATTAGGGACAGTTATACCAGAATCCTAGTGACCCAATCGTTTAACCTATGTGCGCATGAGATGGTGTTTATGGTACATTCTTCTTCTTATTATTATTATTGAACAGATGTAGTGCTTTCCGATGACCATGGATTCGTGTTTTCCGTGATCTCATTAGTATATCCACCAAAAATTATTGCTCTGTGGCGAAAAGTATTTATTTTATGGATTTTCGAACACGCCAAGAAACTACAATTAAAAACCCTGTACATATCTTATATATTTTTTGCCTTTAAGAATAACTTCTTCGTGGACTCTGAAAACAGTAGACATCAGGTGACTTGAGGCCTTTGAGATGTGGTATGAACATTTATAGATGATGATGTAAAATTTTCTCAAGTGAAAGACTTGCAAACAGGTCAGTTACAAGCATCTCGGTGACCAAGATGCCATTTTTGGCGTGGTTCCGGGGGGTCGTGTGAGAGGACTGAATGGGGCGAGAGTATCGAGAAGTGGATGAGGGGTTAACAGTTTATCATTTTGGTCTGAATGTCTCGGAATAGCATTCCAACTAACCCGTTGTCTCTGATCATGGTTAGTTCGTAATAGTTTCCTTCTACGTATTACATCCTATTATTGCTGACACCATTTAAGCACGAGTTAATCTTTACATTCCCTAAACATTGATTTTCAATGAAAATGATGGCAACTTAAAATTAATGTTTAACTTTGGAAACCTGTTTGACTAAAATCAAAGTCTTACTGTCAAATGTACAGTCAAATAAACAGCCGGTTTCTAGCTTAAGTTTGTCGATGTTTTTTGTCATCGACTTGTAGTTTTTACGTTGAAGCAGTTTGTCCAATGTGCTAGGTATCATTAACTCTGCATTTGCGGTTGTTGATGTTGTAACCGTGATAGTCAATCTTATGTAGGTGGTAGGTGCTTCTTTTTACTTTCCTTCAGTAGGTGTTTCTTTTTAGTTCCCTTCTTTTCAAGAATACTAAAAATCTTATTTATTTTAAATTATTTTATTACTCTTGATGTCTCAGACTATTTAAAATTCAAAAATAAAAAAATTTTAATAGAATTATGAAAAAGAACCTTCAGTTTATTTAGTTTAACTTTTATTGGCAGATTCTATTTCCATTTGATCAATGTAAAGAGAAAAAGCTGGATGTTTGGTTATTTGTTTGCGTACTAAAAGAAGTTACTGGCCCTTTACTTTCTTTAATTATTTCACTGTCACGTTTATAGATAAGCCACTCTTCCAGTGCCAAGATTATTTCTAGATGAACAGTAGATAAAAAGACGTATAGTTTAATATTTCGTTACTCATCTGAAACTTGAAACTGATAAACTTTGGAAAGTTAAAAGCGGAATATCCTTTCTTCTTGATGGTACAAAAATCCAAACCCTCACGGCAATGAAGTGATAATTAAATAATTGTCTAGAGAACAACTTGTATTTATTTTAGGTACAATACAGCAAAGTACTTCCGAAAGTTGGTCAGTTTTAAAACAAATCCATCTTTTTTTTATTCTTATTCCAGGAGTCCAGAACCAGTGGAAATGGATGAGTGGCATACCTTGTTCGTTTCTCGGACAGGTCGTGATGGGAGTTTGGAAGTGGACACTCAACCTCGTGTGGAGGGCATGTCACAAGGAGCCTTCACCCAGCTCTCCCTACCACTGAACCTTTACATAGGGGGCGTTTCTGACTTGCAAGATGTAGCAGAGAAAGCTCGTATCACAGCCTCGTTCTCAGGATGCATTCAAAAGGTATAATTTCTATTGAACGGGAAAACAATGTACATTGTTGCTTTTTACCTTTTCTCTCCCCAAGTTCTTGTTCTATAACTTTCTCTTCTGTAAGTAGAATCGAGATATGAAATACAGAGGGCGCTTTATTTACAAATGTCGGATGTAGGTATATTTCATTGTGCTTCATGAATCAGCGAAGAGGGAGGGAGATTATATAATTTAATTATGTTTGTTCTACAACTTTCTAGAGTTTGGATATTTGTTTTTAAACGCATAAACTTATTCGACTTTCAGAGTACATGAAGACTATCAAACCAGGGGCACGCGCGTTAAGATAATTCTATCGAACATACATCGTACTGGTCAGTTTATTTATACGTCTTGCTCTCTTGTTTACTCGATTCCTGCTTAAAAGCTACGATTTTCTATAACTGCTATTTAATCATTGATAAAATATGTATTTTCTAAGGTTTACTAAACATTAGGGATGCACGAGTACCCAGCTAGATATTTGGCTCCTGCCGAATATTGGACTACCCGGTAATTCTCGGAGTGTCGAAGTTAGGCATCTAAGCCTCTTTGTTACATCTAACGCGGTACTGAAGGTTATAGTCAATAATTGGTTTAGTTAAAAAAAAAAAAAAGTAGTTCCGAGCAACAAAAACTGACCACCTGCTGAAAGTCGGGGATTCAGAGAACAATAAGGGTTAATAACAGGCATGGCTTGAGAACTGGATTTCTGGGGAAGGTGGAAGTTTTGAGAACAATAGGGATTAGGGTTTAAGAAGTTTGTGCTGGGCATTGAAAGTTGAAAGTAAAACTTGAATGTTCTGTTGGTGGTTATTCGGTTAAATGTAATAAAAGTCAATTTTGTTTTGTTTCTAATTTTTGTGTATGTTGTTTTGTTGGTTTTTTTTCGGGGGGGGGGGCAAGGGGAGAACCCGGACCCGGTATTCCGCCAAATGTTACTGCCCTACTTAATATACATTCAACAAGAACAATAATTTTAAATCCCCACTATCTGATCAGACAGTAGTAACAATCTGTACTGTTGACTGACTGCATCTCCTTTAACCTATCAGTTCAAATTAAGGACGGCTATACGCAGGTAGTCTCGTGTAGCTAAGCGCGACAATTCTAAACAATAAACAATTCATCGTGCTAAATAAAATAGCACGAGTTTTACGTTTCTAGTTTTTTGTTTTCAATTACTATATAACATTAAATAGGCAAACGAGTCTGTGAGACAGTCATCACTATCACGTGACTTACTCGGTGTGCACAACTGGGATTGTTATCATACTCATTATGATGCAGGTCAGTGGGATTTTGATACTAGAAGTTTCAAGGCCAGAAATTACAATAAAAACTCCAAATGACAAGCAGAGAGGTTTCAAACTTGATCAATAATGTTACTATTTAATTTTAAAGGCAATAACTCTACTATGAGAAGAGTCGGTAGGGGGCGTAACCATGACTATAGGAGCATATAAATTTTATTTAAAAGTACATATTTAAAAATAAAAACGTTTTAAAAACTAGCGTACAAATATTACTAGCATTAATTAATAAAGTAACAGCAATTAACATGGGAAAATGACATGTAAAGTATATACACAAATAGTTCATACGGAGGGGGGCGCAACCAACGCATGTTTAAAAAGCTTGTGCATCATCATCATCATTTCGTAGTGTCGTATTAATCATCTTTTTAATTTTCTGTTTACTAGAGCTGCTCATTAAAACATAAGTAGCGGTTGTTAGAGGCTGTAACGTGCCTCGATAGCAGCTTCCTGTACCACACTGTTAATTTTTTTCAAGTGATCAAGACACGGTTGTTTCCCGGATATGACGAATATTAGGTTTGAAAACACAATCCACACTTACCATTTATTAGAAAGATGAAAAAGTTATGTATTTGATTCTTGTTCGTAGAAACCGGTTTCACTAATAAAACAGAATCCATATAGTTAAGGTAAGTATTTACTGATAGTAGGCCCGGCATGGCCAGGTGGTTAGGACGCTCGACTCGCAATCTGCGGGTTCGAATCCCCGTCACACCAAGCATGCTCGCCCTTTCAGCCGTTGGGGCGTTATAATGTGACGATCAATCCCACTATTCGTTGGTAAAAGTGTAGCCCAAGAGTTGGCGGTGGGTGGTGATGACTAGCTGCCTTCCCTCTCGACTTACACTGCTAAATTATGGACGGCTAGCGCAGATAGCTCTCGTGTAGCTTTGCGCGAAATTCACAACAAACAATACTGATAGTAGGTATTAAAATGTAACGGTAATCATATTTTAGATATTTGTAGGAGTCGATGTTTTTGATAAAATAGAATTCCTCCAGATAAGTTGTTATTGACAGGAAGTATCCAAACGAATAGTTTTCAGTTTGTGTCATTCAAGCGCTAATCTTACCACAGGTATCCAAACGAATAGTTTTCAATTTTTGTCATTCAAGCGCTAATCTTACCACAGGTATCCAAACGAATAGTTTTCAGTTTGTGTCATTCAAGCGCTAATCTTACCACAGGTATCCAAACGAATAGTTTTTAATTTGTGTCATTCAAGCGCTAATCTTACCACAGGTATCCAAACGAATAGTTTTCAATTTGTGTCATTCAAGCGCTAATCTTACCACAGGTATCCAAACGAATAGTTTTCAATTTGTGTCATTCAAGCGCTAATCTTACCACAGGTATTTTTATGACATATAGAAATCAAACTATACGAGTTATGACATAGGAAAAAAATCTTCAGAATATCTGATTGGATGTAGAAAACGATAATATAAAGCAGTCGAGTGCACGAAGATGCAGAAATCTAAATCATAGTGACTGTTTTATAAGAAATTCAGGTTTTCGAATCATCTTCTTTCATTTTTCATCTTAGAAATGGTCTAAAAAATTACCAGAAAACGTCTGTGTCCTGGTTACATAATGACGTGAGCATCGGAAAGCACCAACATGAAAGTTTATATGTACACGCAAAATTCGGCTGTCATTTTTTTTTTATCAGTTATACAATATTAACATAACAAGCCATAAAAGTAATAATGAGTAATGAGTTAACCCAATGAAAATTGTTGAAGTCGTGAGCTCAAATTTATTTTCAAGAAAAAAAAAAGAAAGAAAATCCGTTCCATCATTCTCGAACTAATCTAATTTCAGGCCAGTAAAGAATCGTATATGAAGATAGTTTTTCATTTACTTCATTTCATATATTATCCAAAAATAAATAAATAAAACAAATTACGTGTAAATTATCCAGCATGGAGAAGTTAGGTTATTACGGAATTTTACGATATTATTTAAAATACTACGACGTGGAGAAGTTAGGTATGATTATTAAACATTCCACCCTTCTCTAACCCCCCCAGCAGTGAACAGCGCTTGATATAACTTGATTGTGGGGGGGGGGATCACATCAAGATCCTGATTCTAACAGTCAACTCCGCAAGTGAAGGAAAGATGTTCTTGTTGGTGGCAGAAGGTATTTGTTATATGGATTTCTTAGTACTAACTTACAGATGGGTGTGACCGGCAAAAACCAATGTCAAGAACTAATATCATATTCTAACAATTCTTCAGATTCTCAGAGGGGGGTGTCCCCTTCTGATTCTCCAATATACATTCATTTGGACACCCTTTTGGAAATCCTGCGATTTTCTGAAAATTCCCCATATACAAACGAAATGTGCAACATCGTGTATAAATTTCCGTTACAAAGACTATTGTTATTATTATAACAAGCATATAAGATATAACATTATATTATATGACTAAGATCTTTTAAGCTTAAGAACGTTCTGCGTGTGAAGAGGAACATCATTGGAAGACTCATTGAGATTATTACAGAAAACTATTACGTTTTGAGTGATAAATAATTTATGTCACAAATGTTCCGGTTTTGTCTGTTATTAATATAGCGCAGTCGGTAGACATAAAGTATAATGGCTACAATAAGTTTTAATGTTTTAGTGAATAAACCAGAACACATTCAACACGAAGATAATACAAAGTTTTGTAATCAGAATATCGACATTGGTACTGAAAAAAGTGATCCAAAAATCATAAAAAAAATTAATTTTAAGTATATCAAATATACGTGGACTCCAATGATGGTGTTTCCCCTTCTAACGTTAAATCACCATCAGAGCCACCTGGAGATTAGGAAGGATATGATCATCAAGAGTGAAGATAGTCTTTTCCATATGGTTTTAATATTATAGTTAAAATAGCATTTCAAAGAAAAATATCATACTTTTATTATAATTTTAAGTAGAATACATAAACTAACGAACAGAAAAGTTCTTCTCTACAAGAAATAGTTACATTTATCAAAAACATTTATGAATTTTCTTTTTGTTTACAGAAGTATAGGTAGGATTATGTAGGCACGAAGATACAAGTTCATGTTTTATTTAGTACATGAATTATTCTTTAAAATCAAACATAAAGCAAACTTAATCACATGATTAATACCAACGTATGTCTAAGAGCGTCGTTTATATGTATCTTCGACTTTAATAACAGAACAACCAAATGAAATATAACATTATATACAGGTATGACAGAACAAGCTTGTTAAATATTACTTTATGTATAGAGATGATAGAACAAGATTGTGAAATTCTACGTTATTATGTATAGAGATAATATAAGCAGCTTTTGAAATGTGGCCTTATATATGCTATCAGACATCTGAATTCATTAGACTAAGGTTCGTGTATTAGCAGAGCATAGGTTACTTTATGTTTTAACGATTTTTTTTCGAACTCTTAAAAGTAATGTATTATCAGTGGAAACTAAGATTCGGTTGAACAGAAACTGAGAACACTGAACTCAATAAAATTAAGTGATTGAAAGTTCTATTGTACGAAGAAAACGGTAATCAAAAACAAAACTACACAATTCTTTAATGCGATGTCGTAAATTAAGCAGTTATATCAACTTAGTGCCGATTCTTTTTGGTCTGTTGTTTATTTTCTCTCTTTACACTCACTTTGAAGAAACAAATATAGTACAAATGTTCAGGACACCAGAGGCGTCGCTAGGCACTTCAAAGATTCGGGGTTCGGGCCTATAGGCGCAGGAATTTTCAGCGTTTCAGTATGATATCGATCATGGTTTTCCATTCTGATTTTTCAAGACACCAACTGGAGATTCAAAGCACTGATACCTCGAATCGGGGCGCGGGCCCCGTGTGCTAGTGTCTAGCGACGTCTCTGGGGAATACTGATTTACATAATAATAATTAGTTAAAACTTGTCGTAGAAAGCATAAGCTTTTGATGACCATTGGTTTAATACGTATGTAGTAGTAATTAAATTATTACAACGAGTTGTTTCATCTGTAAATTATACTCTATTCTAGACACCCCCTTCAGCGCTAAAAATAGGGTTAGATCCCTGTAGTGAGCACAGCATGGATAACCCATTGTTCGTCTTTGCACTTAACAGCAAAACAAGCAAACAATATTATTCTTAAAATAGTCACGTGGCTAGCGATCTAAATAATAAGTAACACTTCCACAAACCGTAACTAACGGTACAAATCTTCAAATGGTTTAAATAACAAATTCCAATTGAATATATAATGTGCGTTTGACATATTAAGTAGTAAAGCTCATTGTTGAAAGAAAAGTATTGTTGAAATAATTAACTGTTACCTGTAATAAACATAAGTTCTATCAAGGTTACAGAGTGAAGTAACAAAGAAGATAGGATAATAATTAAAATTAGAGGTACCAGCCTTTCTCTCTCTCTCTCTCTATTCATCTGTGGTCGAAGTTGTTCGATGAGAAGAGCTTCTTTGAATTTTCTGTCAGTGTACCTGGCGAGGACTTGTACAGAGACTGTTGGTTTCAAGTCAGGTGTTACTTGTCCATGATTGGTTAAAATGTGATCTGCAACTGCGCTTCTGTCATGTTGTTGTTTATAAAGAGCGTCAATATGTTCTCCCGTCATTGCGTGTAGGGTCCTTCCGGTATGATGGCAGATGTTAATATGTAAGTCGGTAAACAGTTTGGTTTTATAAGTTAGTAGAGTTGTTGAGAATGGTTGTTTCATATATCAGAATTAAGAAAGCAGTCGCAATAGTTGTTGTTGTTTTGTTGCAATTTATCTCAACAAGTTGATCCTGGAATATTGCTATCGAATACTCTTGTTTGTGCTGCGTATTCAGTGTATTATCCGTACTAATTAGACCAAGAAATATGTTATTTTCTCATCCAGAGAAGTGGACTTTGGTATCTCGGCAACAATGGGGAAGTCCCGTGAATGTTGTCATAACTACGAAGTTGTTAATTTCTTCCGTTCATTGTTTTGGTCCTACAGGTTATTATTAACAATAAACCACTGAAGTTGGTAGAAGATGCTCTGTCTGGAGCCAACATCATTAACTGCGATCACCAATGTGTTGACAAGCCTTGCCAAAATGGCGGAAGCTGTGTTCCAAAGGTAGACTTCTACACCTGTCATTGTTTACTAGGGTTTGCTGGCAGCAACTGTCAGCAAGGTAAGTAAGAAAATGTTTCTAAATATTTAAAGTCCGAGTAAAGTAGAATTAAAATTTTGTCATCTGCTTAATAGCATGTTTTGTGTGTGTGTGTGATTTAATAAAAGACATCCATTTACAATAACCCGGGTAATAGTAATGCCGGATTACGTGAACGACTTTTTGTGTCATTTAATAAAAGACATCCATTTACAATAACCCGGGTAATAGTAATGCCGGATTACGTGAACGACTTTTTTGTGTGATTTAATAAAAGACATCCATTTACAATAACCCGGGTAATAGTAATGCCGGATTACGTGAACGACTTTTTGTGTGATTCAGATAAAAACACGTTTACTTTGTTGCAACAACATTTTGTCACATGATCGTAATGTTGCCTTTAAAAATGACAGGTTACCATTAGAAAGTTATAATTGTTTGTGACCGAGAAGTTTCACAGAATGGTCATAAGAGAATAAAAGAATTAGAATAACTAAAGAATGAGCCACAAGATTCTCTAAAATTTGTATTATTTAAACTGTCATAATTTTCTTATTTACACGTGGGTTTTCAGTATAAGGATGCTTACAGAGCCCAATGTTTTAACTTTAGTGTAGAATCAACAACGTCCCCCGGTGGGACAACGTTAAGTTTACGGACTTACAACGATAAAATCCATGGTTCAATTCCCCGTGGTGAACACAGCAAATAGTCCAGTGTGGCTTTGCTATAAACAAACAATCAACACCACAGTAAACGTGTGAAAATTTTGATGTAGTGTTAAGGGTATAAGATGTGCTATTAGAACATGCCATAAACAACTTAATGATGGAGCTACGGTAATTCTGGTTCACTTATTGGAGATCATATAAACTTTGTCTTATTGGCCGGGATCAGTTTTGACTAGTAGTTTATCACATTCCTCTTTGGACGGATATGAAGCATTAATTATGATGTCCTTACATTGGACTCGACTAAAAAAGTGGTTCGTTATACAACAATAACTGATCCAGTTCAGTTCATCATATTTTGCCTAAGTTTGATATTGTTGTTGCTAATTTTAGCTACGCATTGATGACATTGTATTTGGCACTAGATTAAAGGTTACGCCTTGCACAACACTACCGTCCTATTCTCGACTACTTGTAAAACCCGGTAGTTAGGGAGCTTGAATTGTAATCACGGGTTACGGGTCCGACACCCGTAACCGAACTCTGTCCTTTTATCCCGTATATCACACTATTCGGAGGTAAAAGAGTAGCCCAAAAGTTGTTGATGGATGTTATTGACTAGCTGGCTTCCCTCTAGTCTACCAGTTCAAACTTTGGAACGGCTAACGCAGATAGTCCTCGAGTAGCTTTGCGCGAAATTCAACAAAAATTCACTAACAAATCATTTATGTATGATACATTCTTTATCAACGTTATTCTTGTTTATCAAGAATAGAAGTAATGTAAGCTTGAGGAATCCATTATAATTTTTTTTCAGAGTGGATTGTTCCTGAACTAGATGTTTAGTTCCTGATTAATATTTTATTTGCCATCACGGTCTTCTAGGATACACAATCATATGTATATGCGGCTTTTTAGTGGTAGTCATAACAAGTCCATTTAAAGAATATAACGATGAAAATATTATTTGTAAAATATATTTTTTAATTTAAAAAATCGAATAATAAACTAGAGTTGAGGTGTTGAAAGATGCTGCTTTTGACCACGCGTTATTAACATAACACTCAATGTAAACTTGAACTAAGACAATACCTCCATAAGAGAACAATGTGTTAAATTGCAATTAGGTATATTTATAACTGCACCGGAATACAGTCACGCGTTGATAGCCTACACTGATAGCTTTCCACCAACTTATCAGACAGTGCCTATAAATGTATAGTCAATTATAATGCTTCCAACAGCAGTGTGATGAATGTGTTCATGACTGCCAGATCTGAAATGCCACATGATAAGCCACGTGTTTCAATAGGAATTGTACGAAACCTGTAAAGAGAGTTTGTGAAACAAGTACTATTGATAAAAAAAAGTCATGGTAAATAACGCCGGGTATGTTCTGTGCATAATACACGACATTTTAGCACAGATCTTCCCAATGACCTATTGTCGGTATAGGTGTGAATGTTACTTCAATAATAGTAAGGAACGAAATGGGCTCAGTGGATGTATTGCTACTCAAAAACAACTACTTAAGAAAGATAACTGACACAAAAGGCTGAAAAGGGCGTCAAACTTCAAACAATATGAACAACAAAGCTGAAAAAGGACGATCTTTACAGATAAATACAAATTGAAATTACTTGGCAATAATTTCCGATTGTTTCATCGGTGGCTTAGAAAAAAAAAGTCTATCATATTCAGTATACAATATCTACAGCGAAGCATGTTGAGGGTTAATACAAGAGTGGATTGCATCTAAGCCTATAGTGTTGAAGATCTACACAAAATTGATGGCACCCTGACTGGTGATAGGTACAACATATTCTTCTCCATCATCATCCTATTCCCCCCCGGGAACTATACCTGTTAAGCAGAGATTCATCTTCCAGGAAGACAGTAATGTGAATCGTGCAGCAAACATGGTGAAACGATGCCTGGAGGGAAAAAAAACGATAAGACACACACACGCAACCCGGTATGAATATTATTAAGGGTGTAAGGACAACTTCACTTTATTGACCTTTCTTTTGTATTTTATGTATTGTACTAATAATAAGTTGATCGTCTAATCGCATTTACTCATTGTTTCTGACTCCAATATGTATATCACCAGTACTATAGATAAACGACTATCCTGTTCAATATGACTTATTTCTTTGCGTTTGTTTCCATGGTAACATTTATAACTCTCCGTTATCGGTCCAAAAATGGCCAATTGTTTCTAATGTCATTTATAAATGTTCCCATAACCTTAACGTAACTTTATACATTATCCTGCCATCTCCTATAAAACTTAGCGTTATAATGCAATATTTCACTTTGTTTTCTCGATCTTCACGGATGATATAATGACAGGTAATCTATCCGAATTATCTGTTCATATTATTGTAATAAAATGGAAATTTACTTTTGGGCGAGCCGTTTTTTCCGTCATCAAGCAGATATTTCACCGATCGTAACTGTTTAACTTTTCAATCAATCATTTTAGAGTTGGAGCATCTGGTTGCTTGGCTACAAGTAAATGTTCTGTTAGATTAGCAGTAATAACCAACTAAACTGTGCTGTTATGTTTTGATACTGAAAAAAAGAATTGAATTCAGTGAACTTTTAAAGAGGAAGAAAATATAACGTATCAATACCTAGAGTAGGCTTAGAGTGAATAATAAAAAATAGTTATGTTTTAGCCACAGAAATCTCATGAAGTGACAGAGAATAAATCAGCTGAAATTGGTGCTCTTTGTACTTTATATATATATATATTGTAACTGAAATTATTAATTACGACTAGAGGGTGTTTTGACGCATTATGAAGAATTGTTCTTGAACTGAACGTAGGATTCATGAATGAAACAGTATATTATATTTATTTTTCTATGTACGTTAGCACCAGCAGAGGTCGCTAAATCATAAGTGTATACACTCATTTGAATGTATTTAAGGTATAAATAATAATTTAGAAGACAATCTAATATAACAATAAAAATGTGTTAACTTATTTAAATCGCGTCGGTCTCAATTTTTGTTGTATGCTTAAAGATTTTTTTTATAATGTCGAAACACGTAGATGATGCTACTGAATAAATGTTACGAGTGTTAGAGTAGCTTGAAAAAGGAAGAGGTTATAATAAAAGAAAAAATAGGCTTATTCTATTTCACTCTTACCGTATTTTTCGGAATATAAGACGCACCCTTATTTTAAAGACAGTTTTTTTTTTGGGGGGGGAAAGCTAAAGTTGCATTTGAAAGATTTTTATTGAACAAAAATTCAGTTTCATACTTTAAAAATTAGTATATGTTGTTCTAAACACAAAAGAGCTCAAAACATCAAAATAAGAAAATACCGTAAATCAAAAAAAGGTTTACTGTTATTTAGTTT